CAGCAGCAGCAGCAGCAGCTGCAGCAGCACCAGCCGCAGCAGCAGCAGTGAAGGAAGCAAAACATTTCCCTGAAGCCTCACCTGGTTATACTATGCAATTAATCTCTTTTGGCTGTGGGATATGAGCGCCCCTGTACATACACCTAGCTAGCTACCTATCTAGCTAGCTAGCTAGCTAGCTGTACGACTAGCTAGCTAGCTAGCTGTTTGCATGGGTAGCTTGCCAGCGAGCGAGTTGATTCCGCTAGCTAACTGGCTCTCATTGCCAGCTAGCTAGCTGTGTTCTTACTAGCTAGCTAGCTAGCTAGCTAGCTAGCTAGCTGTCTGCTGGCTGGCTAGCTAGCTTTGTGTTTACTAGCTAGGTGGCAAGCTAGCTAGCTAGCTGTGAGCTAGCTAGCTGGCTAGCTAGCTAGCTAGCTAGGTGTTTACTAGCTAACTAGCTAGCTGAGGGGCTCTGAGCGGTGGGCGCTGGAGGGAAGCAGACTGCAGAGAAATTCGTTTGTCTGTGGAGGAGGCAGAGTTGAGGTGTATGCGCAGCTCTACGCACTGTAGTGTATATACACCGCAACCCTAATAGATATTCTCTAGCTAGCTAGCTAGCTAGCCCTTCAGTTGTTGACTTAGCCTAGTAGATAGACCTCAGCTAGCTAGCTAGCTGATCGCTAGGTATAGGAAGAGCTGATGCTGCAACAGCAGCAGCAGCAGTAGTACCAGCAGCCGCAGCAGTAGAAACAGCAGCAGCAGCAGCAGAAACAGCAGCAGCAACAACAACAGCAAAATTAGAGTGGTTAGGTATGCACAAGTTTTCGTTGTATTAAGACTGCAAGCAGCAGCTATTGCTGCTGTTGCTGCTGCAACAGCAGCAGCGACAACAGCAGCAAAACCTGCTGTAGCAACAGCAGCAACTCCTAGCAGCAGCTGCTGCTGCAGCAACTGCAACACCCGCACCAGCGGCTGTAGAAGGGCTATTATCTGCGGGTACGTGCTGCTGCTGCTGCTGCTGCTGCTGCTGCTGCAGCAATTAGTAGGGAATGAATTATCTATTTACGTTGCCTTCGTTTCTTTTTGCTGCTGCTGCTGCTTTCATTGCTGCTGCTGCTGCTGCTTTCATTACCGCTGCTGCTGCTGCTGCTTTCATTACCGCTGCTGCTTTTGCTGCTGCTTTTGCTGGTGCTTCTGCTGCTGCTGCTGCTTTCTTCATTACCAGCACTACTACCACTACTGCTGCTGTTGCTGTTGCTGCTGCTGCTGCTGCTGCTGCTGCTGCTGCTGCTGCTGCTGCTGGGTATGAGGTGTTTGAGGTATTTGTGCGAGGCTGAGCAAAGGTTTTTATCATTAAAATTTTTTGTTTTGTGTTTGCACTGAGTGGGCGTCCACTGATAAACATTTATTTTAATATCCCGACTCATCGCCTAAACCACAAACCCTAAACCCTAAACCCTAAACCCTAAACCATACGGGTGGATAGCAATGGAAAAAGCAACAGCAGCAAGAAACAGCGTAGTGACAATCAACGGCTTACTATTATTAGGGTTTAATTAGGGTTTAGGGTTTAATTAGGGTTTAGCTAGGGTTTAGGGTTTAATTAGGGTTTAGGGTTTAGTTAGGGTTTAGGGTTTACCACGAAATCTTCTTTGTGCTTCTCAATCAACTTGGCGATGATCTTCGTTTCCATTTCATTGAGGCTGAGAAGAAGAACACAAACCCTAAACCCTAAACCCTAAACCCTAAACCCTAAACCCTTGCTTGATTCCCTCCTTGAGCTCATGATATGCTGCCTAGGTTTTGCTGCGTATACGTATTTGGGTTTGTGTTTGTTTTCTAGGGTTTAGGGTTTCTGTTGTGTTTAGGGTTTAGGGTTTAGCGTTAGTTGTCTGTTGTTTTTAGTGTTTAGGGTTTACAGTTTTTTAGGTTTTAGGGTTTACATCTGTTCTTAGAGTTTAGGGTTTAGCTCCTCGTAGGGTTTAGGGATTAGCTCCTCCTAGGGTTTAGGGTTTATATCTTTTAAGGGTTTAATTTTTAAATACGATTTAGGTTTTAGCTTTTCCTATTGCAGAGTTTAGGGTTTAGGGTTTAGCTCTTCATAGGGTTTATATGAGGGTTTAGGGTTTAGGGTTTACATTTTTTCAGCATATTTTTGCAAGAGTGGTGCATCATATTACACAGATTAGGGTTTAGGGTTTAGCTCTTTATAGGGCTAATAGACTAGTGTTAATTTAGGGTTTAGGGTTTTAGGGTTTAGGGTTTTAGGGTTTAGGGTTTAGGGTTTAGGGTTTACCTTTTTTGGGGGGATATTTGGGTTAATTCTGCATCATCTGCGAGTTGTGCAGCGAAGTCTTTTAAGTTAATTCTTTTAAAGTTTTGTAGCACACTTTTATTATTATCCCAGATACCTTTTAAGATAATATCTCTTTGATTCTTTTTAACATTATAAAACCCTCTGCGAGTTGTTTTTGGCCGTCTGCTAACCGGACGATGAGACGCTCGTCTTGTTTTCTTCATCTTAACTCTCTTTTTATTTATTATTCCTAATTATTTAACTTTAAATTGCTTTCATACACTTTAGTGCACTTTTATCTTCATCATTTAACTTATTCTACAAAAAAAAGCAAAAAAATATATATACAAACATATCAAGGGTTTAGGGTTTAGGGTTTAGGGTTTAGGGTTTAGGGTTTTAAGGGACAAGTTTTTCTAGGGGTGAATTGTTTTGGGAAGAGAAATAAAGCGACAGACAACAATCCACGCACTAAACCCTAAACCCTAAACCCTAAACCCTAAACCCTAAACCCTAAGCAAACAAAAGGATATTCAAGGGGGAAGAGCGCCCCACAGCGGCTTCCACAGAGAAAGAGGTTTGAAAACTTCAGGGTTTAGGGTTTAGGGTTTAGGGTTTTGCATTCAGGCTGACTGCAGCAGCATAAGGAAGTCGATCAGGCGGTACCATCGTGGGGCCCCCGAGGCGGCGGGCCCTAAACCCTAAACCCTAAACACTAAACCCCAAACCCTAAACCCTAAACCCTAAACCCTAGACTTTTAACCCTAAATCCTAAACTCTAATATTATTTTAAATAAAAAATTCTTTTTAAAGTCTTTTTTTTGTCTTTACTCTCTGTCTTCTACTCTATTAAACTCTCTATTGGGGCCCCTATGGGGCCCCTCTCTACTTTTATGCTGTATATTACGGTGTATCTGCAGCAAGCTTCATCTTTATGCTGCTCTCAAATAGAAGACTTTTCAGGGGCCCCCATGGGGCCCCCCTCAGTACCCTCTTCCCTCTATACCGCTCTTATACCCTCCCTACTATGGGGGCCCCCAATGGGGGCCCCCCTAAACCCAATGGGGGCCCCTTTGGGGGCCCCCAAAGGGGCCCCCAAATAATCTATGGGGGCCCCTTGGGGGGCCCCCTACCATTGGGTGTTAGTGGGGGGCCCCCTAAAGCCAATGGGGGCCCCTTTAGGGGCCCCCTTATATTCTATGGGGGCCCCCCAACAGAGAATGGGGGCCCCTCTGGGGGCCCCCCTAGGGGCGCCTCTGAGGTACACTCTGAGGGCCCCTTTGGGGGCCCCCCTAAATTCAGTGGGGGCCCCTCTGGGGGCCCCTTTGGGGCCCCCTTTATGAGAGGGTATGATAATAGTATGAGTGGTTTAGGGTTTAGGGTTTGTGTAGATTGTAGAATTAGGGTTTGGGGTTTATTTTGTTTGTTTTCAACGTCAACACAAACAAAGAAAGTAAAATTATTAATAGAGAGAGCAAAGACTGCACATATAGATTATGTTAGACAACTTAAAAGCCCTGGGGGCCCCCATGGGGGGGCCCCTTATGACGGATGGGGGGCCCCCAAACCCCCTCCTTATATTCCTCCGTCTCCTTCAGCGGGGCCCCCTGAAGCGCATGCAGCTGCTGTACGTGCTGCAGCAGCAACAGCAGCAGCAGCAGCAAGAGCAGCAGCAGCAGGAGGAGACCCTGATAAGCAGCTGCTATCTTTTTCTGAGTGGGCTGCTCACGACTTTAATACTGTTGCTTTACCTGGGGGCCCCCCTCTTCTACCCGATCTATCTTTGCTGCTGCCTCCCCAGCAGCAGCAGCAGCAGCAGCAGCAGCAGCAGCAGGGGGATATGCTGCTGCTGGGGGGCCCCCAGGGGGCCCCCCAACTGGGGGGCCTCTTACATCAATTAACATTTAAAAGATTTGGAGTCATTAATGCAATCCACGGAGATATACTCGCACCAATGCTGGGGCTGCAGCAGCAGCAGCAGCAGCAGCAGCAGCAGCAGCAGCAGCAGCAGCAACAGCAGCAGCAGCAGCAGTATGTGGCAGACTGCATTGTGGTGCCCGCCCCGCCCAATATGATTCCTTATCGAGGGTTTGGTGCGTTCAGCCCCCTTAAACCCTAAACCCTAAACCCTAGAGAAGCCTATCAAACCCTAACAAACCCTAAACCCTAGTGTATAAAAACCCTGTGGTTTGAATGCTGCTTCTGTTTTTCCCTTTGTCTTTCCGATTTAGGGTATAGGGTTTAGGGGTTTAGGGTTTAGGGTTTAGGGTTTAGGGTTTAGGGTTTAGGGTTTGTGTGTGTTGAACAGCATTGGAAGTGCTGGAGAAGGGAGGGAGAGAGCTGCAGCAGAATTTGTTTAGGGCCCTCAAAAGGAGACTGCAGCAAAAAGCACAAAGACCAATCCGTCTGTCTCGCTGCTGCTGCTGCTGCTGCTGCTGTTGCTGGCGCCTTTGCTGCTGTTGCAGCTGCTGCTGTTGCAGCAGCTGCTGTTGCTTTGCTGCTGTTGCTGCTGTTGCTGCTATTGCCGTTTGCTGCTGTTGCTGTTGCTGTTGCTGTAGCACTGCTGCTGCTGTAGGTGCTGCTGCTGTATGTGCTGCAGTTGCTGTTGCTGCTGCTGCTGCGGGTGTGCGGGTTTTGCTGCTGGTTTGTCTTCCTTTGCATCTACGTCTGCTGCTGCTGCTGCGGCTGCTGATATTGCTGCTGCTGCTGCTACTGATGCTGCTTCCACTACTGTTGCTATTGTTGCTGCTGCTGTTGCTGTGGTTTCAGCGACCTTTGAGGAGTATCCAGAAGAAAGTACGAGTTGCTCTGCAAACCCTAAACCCTAAACCCTAAACCCTAAACCCTAATCGGCCAACCGAAGCTTTAAACCCTCCTTTGACACCAGGACAGCAATACGGCTGCATATAAATAGCTAGAATTTAGGGTCTAGGATTAAGGGTTTAGGGTTTAGGGTTTAGGGTTTAGGGTTTAGGGTTTGTGTGTACGTAGGCCGCGCTTATTTACAACGCGTCGCAGCAGAAGAGAAAAAGCAGCTACAGCCAGGTATGTTTAATAAATAAACAAATAAATAAATAAATTAAATAAATAAATAAATAAATAGATTTATTTATTTATATATTTATTTTTTTGTTTATGTGTTAATATTCTTCTTGTATTTATTTATTTATATATTTCTCTTACTGTTTGTTTGTTATTTATTTATTTGTTTTTTAATTAACTAATTAATTAATTAATTAATTAATTTATTTATCCTTTGTTTATTTTTATTTCCTTTTCTTATTTTTTGTTTGCATGCGGCAGCATGTTCAATGCTTGTTGTTTTAGGGTTTAGGGTTTAGGGTTTAGGGTTAGGATAAATTAATATATATTTATTTAACTTCAATAAATAGAACCAGATTTTATTTATTATCTTTGATTAATATATGAAGTAATATAATAATAATATTATTATAGTAATATAATATTATTATTGTACATAATATTATTATAATATAATAATATTATCATTGTACATAATAATATTATTATAATATAATAATAATATTATTATGCATTACAGCATACTAATAATACTATTATTATAATATGCTAGTAATATAAAAATAATAATAATAAATAAATAAATAAATAATAATAATAAATAATAATAAAAATAAAAATAAAAATAAAGATTTGAGTGTTTGCTTTTTAGGAGAAGTTTTGATAATCCCAGCGCTGGGGTGTACAGACACTGCACCTCTCTTTGCTTTCCTCGCAATGCCCTACTACTGGCGTATGCTGCTGCTGCTGCTGCTGCTGCTGTTGCTGCTGCTGCTGCTGCTGTTGCTGATGCTGCTGCTGGTGGTGCTGCTGCTGGTGTTGTTGATGGTACTGGTGCTGCTGCTGCTGCTGCTGCTGTCGTTAGTGTTGCTGTCGTTAGTGTTGCTGTTGTTTCTTCTGCTATTGCTGTTGCTGCTGCTGCTGCAACTACAGTTGCTGCTGCTGCTATTATTCTTCATTCTGCTGCTGCTGCTGCTGACGGTTTGCATCTATTTTCGTTGCTGCAACAAGCAAACCACTGCAGCAGCAGCGGCGGTTACTGCTGCTGCGCCCGCATCCTCATCTCCAGCAGCAGCAGCAGCAGCAGCAGCAGGAGCAGCAGGAGCAGCAGCAGGATGAGGGTGTGTGTGTGGGGTGTGCAGAGGGCAGCAGCAGCGAAGCAGCCCGTCGTCTGCTGCAGACATCTCGTTTATGTTTTAAAACCCTCAACAGCAGCGGGATACAGTCTGCTGTCATTCCTTTCATAGGTCTTGGGGTGTATGGGTTCGAACCTAAAAGAGCAGCAAATATTATCGTGCAAGCAGCAATCGAAGAAATGCTACAGGTAGGGTTTGCGGTTTAGGGTTTAGGGTTTAAGGGGTTGGGGTTTAAAGCTCAGTTCTGGGGTTTAGGGCTTGCGCTTTAGGGTTTAGGGTTTAGGGTTTAGGGTTTAGGGTTTAGGGTTTAGGGTTTGAGGCTTCCATTTGGTGGGAAGTTGGAGGGGTAGCGAGGGTTTAGGGTTTAGGGTGGATGAGGGTTTAGGGCTTTGGGTTTAGGGTTTAGAGTGGTTTAGGGTTTAGAGTTTAGGGTTTAGGGTTTGTGTGCAGGTTGAAGCAGTGTCTCCTTTGTACAACCTTAACCGCATTGATATTGTAGAAGCAGATGCAGCAGCAGCAGCAGCAATTGCTGCAGCAGCAAAAGAAGCAGAGACCATCTGGATACCTGAAAAGCAGGTGATGAAGGCTGTCTCCTTTTGTTTCTTTATCTGTCTCCTTATCTCTTTCTTTATCTGTTTATTTATTTGCTTATTTATTTGTTTATTTATCTCTTTCTTTATCTGTTTATTTATTTGTTTATTTATTTGTTTATTTGTTTGTTTATTTATCAGCTGTCTCCTTACCTGTCTCCTGATCTCTTTATCATGTTCTTCTGGTAGTACTGTTGTTTAGGGTTTAGGGTTTAGGGTTTAGGGTTTATATGTTTGTGTTTTTGTTTCTAAGCATAAAATTGTATTATATTTGTTTTAATTTGTTTTGTTCTATGCGTATACACCTTGGGGTGTACATGCAGCTTATTGCAGCCCCGCAATACTTTAGTCGTCAGTCGCGGCGTCTCCTTTCTATTCCTGACTCTGTTCTTTCTTTCTGCAAACGTCACTCAAGAGTTTCATTCAAAAAGGTTAGGGTTTAGGGTTTAGGGTTTAGGGTTTAGGGTTTAGGGTTTTAGGGTTTAGGGTTTAGGGTTTTAGGTGAAGGGTGAAGGGCCAGTTCTTTAGAGGCGAGGATGTATGGTTATGATTTTAGAGTTTAGGGTTTAGGGTTTAGATTGAGGGTTTAGAATTTATTATTTATGGTCAATGGTTTAGGGTTTAGGGTTTAGGGTTTACGGTTCAGGGTTTTTTAGGGTTTAGGGTTTAGGGTTTGGGGTGTATATGCAGCACCACGGGGTGATTCGGAGACAAAAGAAACATTACTTTTCTAATATTCGCCCCTTCATGTGGCGGGCTTCAAGGGTTTTGCAGCCTCCTCCTTTCATGGTTTGTTATTATTTAGGGTTTAGGGTTTAGGGTTTAGGGTTTAGGGTTTGTTATTTCTGTTTGTGTTGTTGACCTGTGTCTGACGTTTGTTTGTTTTTCTATCTATTATTCTATATTTGTTTGTTTGTTTATTTATTTATTTGTTTATTTATTTGTTTATATATATGCATATATATATCTATTTGTTCGTTTGTTTGTGTACTTAATAAAACATTTATTTATTTATTTTGTTTATTTGTTTGTTTGTTACTTTGTTTATTTAATTTAATTTACTTATTGTTTTGTATCTGTTCGTTTGTAGATATTAAATTATTTTATGTTGACTATTAATATTATATTATATTATATAATATTATATTATATTATATTATATTATATTATATTATATTATATTACGTTCTATTATATTATATTATATTATTATAGTATATTATATTATATTATTAGATTATATTATATTATATAATATTATATTAATTTCTTGTATTTGTTTGTTTATAGGTATTAAAGAACTCAGGTATTGCTGCAAATAATATATTTTCTTATCGCCGTCATTACTTTCGGGGTGTACGTGCAACATTATTTAATATTCGTTCGTCTTCATTTGATATGTTGCGCATTAAAAGAGATGGTCAATTCGAAGGCGTTAATAAAATGCCTAATATAGCCCTCAAAGCTAAACCCAGACTCTAAAAGGGTTTAGGGTTTAGGGTTTAGGGTTTTGGGTCGAAGGGTTGAAGGGTTGAAGGGTTTAGGGTTTAGGGTTTAGGGTTTTGAAATTAGGGGCTAGGGTTTAGGGTTTACGCTCTACAGGCTATCTCCTAACCCGAAAACCCTAGGTTTAGGGTTAGGATGTAGGGTTTAGGGTTTAGGGTTTAGGGTTTAGGGTTTGGGGCGTTGGGGTGTATTGGCAGCTTTTCTTTATAAGACAAAATATCTTTTTTTATCTTTTTTCAAGAACAAATTATTTTTATTTTCATTTGTTTTTATATTTTATTATTACTATTATTATTAGTATATTATTATTATTATTATTATTATTATTATTATTATTATTATTATTATTATTATTATTATTATTACTATTGAATTAGTATTTGTTATAATTATTTTCTTGTATTATTATTAGTTGGTTCTACTATTAGGATGATCCTTTACTATTATTATTATTATTATTATTTTATTTATTCTAGGGTTTAGGGTTTAGGGTTTAGGGGTATTCTTATTACGTTGTTATTAGCGTTGCATTTGTTGTCCGAGATATTTTATTTTACGGGTTTTATTAATAATTAAAAAACAGAAAGAAACATACCTTTTGAGGTCTAGGGTTTAGGGTTTAGGGTTTAGGGTTTATGTAATTAGCCAAGGGTTTATGATTTAAGGTTTAGGGTTTGGGGTTGGTACAACAATCGGGGTTTAGGGTTTAGTGTTTAGGGTTTAGGGTTTAGGGTTTAGGGGTTAAGCAAAACGTGAAGCAAAACAATTGATTAATTATAATTTAAAATAAATAAATTATAGTTGTATGATTACTGAGGAAAGAAAACATAGAAGGCGACAGCCCTAAACCCTAAACCCTAAACCCTAAACCCTAGCTCCATTAGTATACAAAGTATACAGTTCTTCTTGTTATCGCACATCTTGCTCTAGCATAACCTCTTACAAAACCTTTTGAAACTTACTCCCTAGAGTTTAGGGTTTAGGGTTTAGGGTTTAGGGTTTAGGGTTTAAGGGTGCCCTTGGTGTGGGGCCCGTTCCCAGCCCCACAGGGTTTTACCTTTGTTAAATTTCGTCTTCTGTGCATTGTCTGTCTTATAAAGTTTATTATTTTAATATATTTAATTAATTTATTTATAAACAAACAAACAAACAAACAAACAACGAAAACTGAACCACCACAGCCTTAGTCATAGGGGCCCCCAACCCTCTCCCTCGCTTAGCTGGGGGGCCCCCTACCGCCTCCTGCACAACAAACCCTAAACCCTAAACCCTAAACCCTAAACCCTTTTTATTGAAGCAGCAGCAAAGAAGTATGACGCGGGAAAGGCCCCTAGGGGCCCTTAAAATTAAAAAAGAAAGGGGGCCCCCAGCATCAATACCCCAACAGCAACAGGAGGCCCCTGCAGCAGCAGCAGCAGCAACAGCAGCAGCAGCAACAGCAGTCAAGGTAAAAAAGGAGACCGAGAAGTCCTCTACGCCTGCAACACAACAGCAACAAAAACAGCAGCAGCAGCAGCTGCAGCAAAAGCAGCAGCAGCAGCAGCAGCAGCAACACGCATCTTCTGTTAAAAGATCCACCCTCAGTCATTCTTCTTCGCAAGAGGGCCATAAAGGGGGGCCCCCAGGGGGGCCCCCAAGAGACTCTAAGGGGGCCCCTTCAGGGGCCCCTAAGAGCAACAACAAGGGGGCCCCTGAGGGGCCCCCAAAGAGCAGCAAGGGGGCCCCTGAGGGGCCCCTTAGAACGTCTAAGGGGGCCCCTTCAGGGGCCCCTAAGAGCAACAACAAGGGGGCCCCTGAAGGGGCCCCTTCAAGGCCCCCCAAGAGCAGCAAGGGGGCCCCTTCAGGGGCCCCTAAGAGCCCTGAGGGGCCCCCTAAGAGCAGGAGGGGGGCCCCTGAGGGGCCGCCTAAGAGCAGGAAGGGGGCCCCCTTAGAGGATAAGGGTTTGTATGAAGATGAAAGAAATAAAGAGCCTAAGAAGGGTTTAGAGGGCCCCTCTGCTCGTTATCAAAGTTTATTAAAAGTAGATAATGTAATGGAGGTAGAAGGCGAAGAAGATTTGCTGTCAGATGATGAAGATGAGTTAAATAAAATCGGAGATGTACCCCTATGGTGGTATGATAAATATAAACATATAGGTAAACCCTAAACCCTAAACCCTAAACCCTAAACCCTAAACCCTAATACAAACAATAAACCATCATAGAAACCCTACACCCTAATCATAAACCCTAATAATTAACCCTAATCATAAACCCTAATCATAAACCCTAATAATTAACCCTAATCATAAACCCTATCAATAAACCCTAATAACCATAAACCCTAATAATATTAAACCCTAATAACAATAAACCCTAATAATAATAAACCCTAATAATAATATTAAACCCTAATAATAATAAACCCTAATGATGAAGAATAATTATGCGGTTTAGGATATGACAGTGAAGGGAGGCGCATAGAAAAGGGCGAAAAGTTTTTAAACAAACCGCTGGAGACTTTGCTGCATGCATCGGAGGAGACAGACCGATGGAGACAGATTCACGACATCAAAAATAACAGAACAGTTAAACTCACTGACACTGACTTGCAGGTTCGCTCCTACGCCCTGCTGCTGCTGCTGCTGCTGCTGCTGATGCTGAAGGTGCTGCTGAAGATGCTGCTGAAGTTGATGCTGCTGCTGCTGCTGAAGATGCTGATGCTGAAGATGCTGATGCTGCTGCTGAAGATGCTGCTGCTGCTGCTGTTGCGGTTGCTGAAGATGCTGCTGCTGCTGCTGCTGCTGCTGCTGCTCCTTTAACTAAATATTTTGTACTTGTGGTTGTTTGTATATCTTCTTCAATTATTTATTGCACAGTTTATTTATTTATTTATTTATTATGTCTATTTACTTCTTTATTTATATTTATTAATTTATATTTATTTATATTTATATTTATTTATATATATTTATTTATATTTATATTTATTTATATATATTTATTTATATTTAGTTTTCTACAGATATTTACTGCATCAAATCCACAGCCTCTTTTCTTTGTTTCTTCATCCCTTTCGTTTATTTATTAATTTATATTTATTAATTTATATTACTTAATTAATTAATTAATTTATATTTATTTATTTGTTTATTTATTATTTTAGATCATACGCCGCATAATGCACAGACAATTCCCAGACCCTAATTTTAACGATGAAGAAATAATTTTAGATGAAGATAAAACTGACAGGTGACTTATACTTATTTATTTATTTATTTATTTATGTTTATTTATATTTATATTTATATTTATTTATTATTTATTTATTTATATTTATATTTATTTATTTATGCTTATGCGTTCACATATATATATATATATGTATATATATGTAAGAAATAAATTTAAAAGATAAAATCGGCAAGTGATTTATATATATATATTTATTTATTTATATTTATTTATTTATTTAGTTATATATATATTTATATATATATTTATATTTATTCATACATTCGTATATATATATTTATATAGACATGCATAAATATGATGCTTATATCGATATGCATTTATATATAAATGTATATATATATATATACATTTATATATATATATATATATATACATTTGTATATATATATATATATATATATGTATATGCATAAACATTTATATATATCTACATTA